TTTGATTTCAAGGGTTTCAGCGCCTCCCCCAGCGAAACGATGGGGTCTCTTTTGTAGCCAGTGTTCTGTTTGGTGGTGACCATCGTGGAAAGGTGATGTTCTTCACTTCTGATGGAGTTCTGTTTCGGTTTTGTCTGGGACACGGGGACGTGCACTAGTTAAGCTGTGTGCGCCCCGGGATACAGTTCCTTCTCGTTCTAATGATCCTGCACGCATTCTTATGAAGAGGTGAGGAATGTGTTTGAATGAAATCACCGCCTAAAGCTAAACGGCTGTGTAGTCAGTGAAGTTTGTTTAGAAGCAATTTTAAAAAGTATGAAAATGGGAGAACTTTCACGAGGGAAAACTTGCTAAGTGGGAACTGATCACTGAGCGTGTACTGATCACCTATGGAGGGCTACGCACTTTCTATGCATTATTTATATTCTTTTGTGTGTTGGTCATAATAGGTAGCAAGTAACCATTCTCTAAGGGTAATTTGCCCCGTGCAAAACTCATAGGTGTGTGTGTGTGTGGGGGGGGGGGGGGGATTTGAATCCAGATCTGTTTTGCTGTCCTCTCTCCACAACACTGTGCTTGCCACTTGGTGTGTGCGTACAGTTATGTCTCATTGCGTATCAGGGATAAAGGTGATTTACAGAGTTTTAGAGCCTAGCCTTCTCATACACTGAACTTGCCAGCGCTAGGTAGCAGCAAACCGGGCCAGAGCCTAAGGGTGTGGCACCCACACCTGTATGCTGTGGCCTGAAGAAGCTCCTGGGAGGAGATGAATTGCCTTTAGTGGTGTTCAGCTCCAGAGGGAGTGGGCGGGGCTTCTGCGGGGCAGCTGGTGGGGATTCTTGCCCATGTGCGCAGGAGAGCATGCAGACCTTGTGTTATCCGTGCAGAAGAAGGTAACCAAGAGCTGAATGAAATGGAGACACTAATGTTTTTGCAAGATTATGATTCTTGTACCATTTCTTTTACATACTGAGCATTAGCAATTGATGACTCAAGGATGATTTCCTTAATTATGCAGAAGTCTTATACTTTAAGGGTAGTATAGTGGGACCTGGGTTTTCGAACTTAATCCGTTCGTTCCAGGAGGCGATTTTTTTGAAGACTGAATTATTTTTCCCCCCATAATGCTTCCCTGTTTTAGCCTTTCTCATATACATGTACACGTCTAATGTGCTGTTTAATCTATAAAGAAACACTTCTTAAATTTATCAAAGTAACCCCCACTAGCCTTAAACAAAATTTTCATATCTCACTGCCTCTGAAATGCTACCACCGACAGCATTGGCTGAACTGCTTTTAGTTTACCCAACTCCAGTCAACAACAGTTTTTCTACCTATTCAATTGCCTGCGATTGTTGTTTGGTGAGCATCTTCGCAGCCTAAGCAACATTAGCACTCGTAATAGCCTCTTTATGTTTTAAAATTGTGCTAATCCTGATTTCACCAGCAACAAAAGCATTTTCTCCTTTGTTGGCTGAGAGATGCTTTTTGTCATGCTGAGGTATAAGCATGAAAGGGTTGTCTGGTCGAAAACTGAAGTTTTGGTTGACAACTGACACATTTTTTCTGTGAACAACTTGGTTGAGAACTGAATTGTTGGAGAAATGAGATTTGATGATATACTTTAAGTATTTGATTTCTCTTTAGAATTTCCTCTATGATCAGAACTGGTTTAAATAATATGTAAATATGGGAAGATCCAAGGTGGCAGCAGACTAGGTGGAAGCTACATTCACCTCCTCCCAGGACCAACCTGAATTACAACTAAAGTCTAAAAAAACCATCCTGAATTACCATCTGAAGAGCAGCTGGAGAGAAGCCTTGTAACCAAGGACTGACAGAGGAGGCCACATTGAGACTGTTATCTACCGTAGCCAGGACTGGAAGCAGCCAGCGTCCCTCAGTACACGAGTGGATAACAACTATGCTCCACTTACACATGGAGTAAATACCACTCGCCATAAACAGGAAGACAATCTTACCCTCTGTGAAAGCATGGATGGACATGGAGAACAGTATGCTAAGTGAAATCAGCTAGTCGGAGAACGACAAATACCATATGATTTTGCTCATGTGGAATCTAATTGAACTAACAATCAAAATTGAGACAGACTCAGAGAGAATGGGCAGACGGCTCTGGTGAGGGGCGGGGGAGAGTGTTGGTGGGGAATCCTTTCCAGGAGATTTTCAATTTACTTTGCCCAGATCCGTCACAGGAATCACTATCTATGGCACTAGCTATAGCCTTACAAAATACATTCCTTTACTAAATAATAAGACTTGAAAGTTGGAATTACTCCTTGATCCATGGGCTACAGAAGGGAAGTTGGGTTAGCAGGCACAAAGACAACATTAATCTCGTTGTGCATCTCCCCCAGGGCTCTTGGGTGACCAGGAGCTTGTCAATGAGCAGTAATTCTTTTGAAAGGAGTCTTTTCTGAGAAGTAGGTTTCAAGAGTTGGTTCAATGTATTCAGTAAACCATGTTTAACACTTGTGCTGTCACCCAGGCTTTTTGTTCTGCATAATGCTTAAGGGCCCTACGTTTTTTGGGATGGTAAATGCGTAGTATTGGCTTCACCTTAAAGTCACTAGCTGCATTCACCCCTAAGAAGGGAGTCAGCCTGTCCTTTGAAGAGTTGAAACCAGGCATTGACTTCTGTCCAGCTGTGAAAGTCCTAGATGGCATCTTTCAAAGTAAGGCCGTTTTATCGACATTGCACACCTCTTTCACCTGAACCACCTTCATTAATTGTCTTAGCTAGATCTCTCCGTTTGTTATGGAGACCGCTCCTTTTTTAAGCCTCAGGAACCAACCTCTGCTCGCTTCAGACTTTTCGTCTGCAGCTTCCTCACTTCTCTCGGCCTTCTTAGAATTGAAAAGGGTTAGGGCCTTACTCTGGATTAGGTTTCGGCTAAAGAGAATGGTGTGACTGGTTTTACTTAATACCCAGACCACTAAAACTTTCTTCTTTCTTATGATTCATGTGTTCACTGGAGTAGTATTTTTAATTTTCTTTAAGGGTTTTTCCTTTGCATTATTAACTGTTTGGTGCACGAAGCCTAATTTTCAGCTTGTCTCAGCTTTTGACCTGCCTTTCTCTTAATCATTTCTAACTTTTGATTTAAAGAGAGAGATGAAGGACTCTTCCTTTCACTTGAACAGTGAGAGACCATTGTAGGATTAATATTAATAACTATTAATTTCAATGTTGTTGTGTCTTGGGGAAAGGGATAGAGATGGGGAAATTGCTGATTAGTGGAGTAGTTAGAACACACGGCATTTATCGAGTTTGCTATCTTATATGGGCATTGTTGTGGCACCCCAAAACAATTACAGGAAATTAAAGATTACTACTGATCACAGAGCATCATAATAAATATAATCATGAAAAATTTTGAAATATCACGAGAATTACCAAAATATGACAGAGACATGAAATGAGCAAATGCTTTTAGACTTCTTAATTTTTGCCTATCTGGTAAATATAAGTTGATATCTCACTGTGGTCTTAATTTACCTTTTCCTGTCATTGGCATCTGTTATTTTGGACATTCGTCCTTTTAATATATGTGAACTAAAAATTTCTCTCATCTTGTGGTTTGTCTTTTTACCTGGTGGTCTTTTGCTAAACAAAAGCTCTTTTGATATAGTCAGATGTATCAAACATTATATAGTTAAATTCTTAGTCCAAGTTAAGAATGATAATTTTCTACATTAAGAGTTTAAAAGGTTTTCCTTTTTACCCTTGAGTGGTTTTTGTGGATGGTGTGAAGCTTTCCGTCTTTTCCATGTAGATAGTGCATGGACCTAGTCCTGTTTATTGAATAGTAGGTCTCTCTTTCCCTCACTGATCTGCAGGGCCTCTTAGGAAAATTCGATATTACATAACTATATGAGTCCATTTTGGGCTTCTCTGTTTTGTTCCATTGGTCAGTTCATATAGTCTTACCATGCCTTCTTACTCATAGCATCTTACTGTAGCTTTATAGCTTCATGTCATGAAGAAAAAAAAGTATTTTGCCTCCTCCAGAAAGGTTTCAGCCATATACTTAGACTTTTAAGTAGGTTTGAGTAAAAACATTTTTATATTTTATGTAACTAGAGGTTCGGTGCACAAAATTTGTGCACGGGTTGGGTCCCTAGGCCTGGCCAGTGATCAGGGCCAATTGGGATCTTCCCGCCGCTGGCCAGGGCCTGCTGGACAGGGGTGGGGGAGGGACCACAGGAGGTTGGCTGGCTGCGGGAGGGACCAGGGGAGGTTGGGCAGCTGTGGAAGTGCACTGACCACCAGGGGGCAGCTCCTGTGTTGAGCATCTGCCCCCTGGTGGTCAGTGCGTGTCATAGCGATTGGTCGTTCCTGTCGTTGTTCCAGCATTCCGGGTGCTTAGGTTTTTATATATAGAGACTAGTAGATATGGAATTCAGTATGTACTAATCACTTTTTCAGACCATTTACATTACTGAAAGAAATAGGAGAAGAAATAGCTGATAATTATGCTTCATTTATCAGCTACATCAATTTTTTTTTTCTTTTTCAATATAGGAACAGTTTTGATCAAAAGTAACAGTGGTCAGTTGATGTTGGTATCTCCTCAGCAACCTGTAACAAGAGCCGAGACTACAAGTACCATAATTTCAAGACCGGCGCTACCAACGAATCCTCAAACAGTCAAAATCTGTGCAATGCCGGTAATGTACCTTAACTCTTTTTTTCTTTTTTCATTTTCTTTAATTTATCAAGTATCTTGGTTTTGTCATTTGCTGATTGCTAAAACAATAAAAATTCAGTCTTCATACTCAAAGATTTTGTAGTCCTTAAGGGACTGTTCAAAGGGCTGTTTGTATCTTTAAATGGAAAGAAAGCCATTCTGCTTCAATTTTAATTTATAGCAAAATATTAAGACTACAGTTTAGTATTCACTTTTATCCGTAGCTTGTAGAAATTACCTTTAAGAAATTCAGAACTTTAATGCAGTATTTTATCACCTTGGCATTGTACAGGACCGATTTATTTTACATACATGATGATCTTTCTAGGCACCTGCAGCTTGCTTTGTGTGCCTGAGTTAAAATATACTTATAGACATACTTCTGGGCATCTTTCTTTGATTAAATAGAAAATGCTGAATATAGTATAGCATTTTCTTGATGAGTCAGGTTCATGCTAAAGAAAGATTGCACTGTTTCTGTGGTAATATTATTCTCTGCCAATTTAAATCTCCCCCACCCCCATTATTTTACTCTTCTAATTTGATTCTGGGTTTTCAACCAGTCGTTTTCTCTGTTAGCTACTCCTTCCCTTTCCAGTTTGCTGTATCTAACTGCAGTGGGTTGAGAAGATAGATTAGCAAGATTTTTTTCTGTCAATGATAGCAAATAAGAATCCACATTTTCTATATACGCCATACTGTCAAGTTTGGAAATTTATCCTGAAGTAATCTGATACTTATTTGTTAAATCACTTGCCTCCTTAGGTATATGAAATATCAACTGGTCGATTGACCAGTTAAGTTCATAGTAGAGAATGTGCATAGCATTTATAAGGTTAGAAAACCAGGTACAACAAAGAAGTTTGCTATGGTAAAGTGTTTTTATATTTGCCCCAGTACTGATTGATTTTATTTTTTTAATTTTTTTAAAAAAGATATCTTTATTGATTTCAGAGAGAAGGGAGAGAGAAAGAGAGATAGAAACATCAATGATGAGAGAGAATCATTGATTGGCTGCCTCTTGCACGTCCCCTAATGGGGATCAAGCCCGCAACCCAGGCATGTGCCTTTGACTGGAATCGAACCTGGGACCCTTCAGTCCGCAGACTAACGCTCTATCCACTGAGCCAAACCAGCTAGGGCCTGAGTGATTTTAAATTACTAATGCTGATGACTCTGTATTATCTCTCCAACCCCCAGAATTCTAATTCACAGTTAATCAAGAAAGTGGCTGTGGCACCTGTTAAACCATTGGCACAAATGGGAGCTACTGTGGTAACCACTGTTACAAAGCCTTCCTTAGTACAAGTAAGTGTGACAGACGGGTGGCCATGTGTGCACTGTTATTCTTCCATATTTCTTATTATTTAGCTGCTAGAGGCCCGGAGCACGAATTCCTGCACGGGTGGGGCCAGGGTCAATAGGGCTGGGCTGGCCCCGCCCCCTGGTTGAACTCCCGATTGAGGGGACAATTTGCATATTAGCCTTTTATTATATAGGATTTTTAAAAAATATATATTTTATTAATTTTTTTACAGAGAGGAAAGGAGAGGGATAGAGAGAAACATCGATGAGAGAGAAACATCGATCAGCTGCCTCCAGCACACCCCCTACTGGGTATGTGCCCGCAACCAAGGTACATGCCCTTGACTGGAATCAAACCTGGGACCCCTTAGTCTGCAGGCTGACGCTCTATCCACTGAGCCAAACCGGTCAGGGCTATTATATAGGATTTTCTGCCAGATGTATAAGTTGCTAACTGTGTGATGTTGAAGAGAGCAATTTAGTGATGTATGATGACATGTATCAAAATGGTAACTGTTGGAGGTATGGGAAACACAAGATAAACATGGTGTAGATCAGTGATGGCGAACATATGACATGCGTGTCAGAGGTGACACGTGAACTCATTTTTTTGGTTGATTTTTCTTTGTTAAATGGCATTTAAATATATGAAATAAATATCAAAAATATAAATCTTTGTTTTACTATGGTTGCAAATATAAAAAAATTTCTATATGTGACACGGCACCAGAGTTAAGTTAGTGTTTTTCAAAATGCTGACACGCTGAGCTCAAAAGGTTCGCCATCACTGGTGTAGATTCTTAGAATATCAGCTTTACTTGCATATTTTAAATTAACACAAACGCATCAAATTGCCATGTCTCCAAGTGTCCAGAAGCGGGTGCTGTATGCCAATAGAAGACAAGCATTTAAATTAGAATGAAGGTGCAGTGTTCAGTTTAATGTGTGAATTGTAAATATTATTCTCTTTCTACCCTCAAACTTTACTCATATTCTGTAACTTTTAGTGTCTATCCTTAAAATAAGTTTGTTGCTTTATCTCAATATAGTTTTCTAAATTACAACCTGACTTTGATTTCTTGTATGAAACTTTTTATCCTGCAGATGGTGCTATAATCACACCTCATTTCAGTGGAGGGTAGAAGAAGCAACTGAAATTCTTTTCAGTGTGAAAATAAGATATCATTTTCATAATATTTGTAATGCTTACTTACTCTTATGGTCTACATAAAAGCAGCTTACCTGAATACTAGAGGCCCGGTGTACAAAATTCGTCCCCTCAGCTTGGCCTGCGTCCTCTCACAATGTGGGACCCCTTGGGGGGGTGTCGGGCCTAAACTGGCAGTCGGCTATCACTCTCACAATCTGGGACGCTGCATGCACCAGTGACCATACTTTTCATTCAGGTGAAAGGCATCTTGCTGTTGTACGGGCAGCTACATTTTTTTGCCCTGATTATAAAAAGTAATACATAATATGATCCTTCTGAGGAGTAGTATCATTTTCCCCATCTTATGGGTGGAAAAACTGAAGCAGAGAGAAGTTAAGTAAATGGCTTTGTCACACAGTTATAAGTGTCAGAATCAGGGCTGACCACAACATGTGCAAGCCAGAGTCCATGCATGTTATCACTGCATCATTCTGTTTTTTCAGTGTTAGAGTAGCCTTGCCAGGTTTTAATTTTTAAATCTAAGAGACTGTTCCCAATATATAGGGTAGGGTACTTAGGCCTGGCTGGCCATCAGAGCCATCTGTGGGGCCCCTGGTCAGCCGGCCCTGCCCCCCCCCCCCCCCCCATCAGCGCCACTGGGCGCCTTCCTCTCAGGGGAGCAGACTCCTGTGCTGAGATTCTGCCCCCTGGGGGGCAGTGCGTATCATAGTGACCGGTCATTCCACTGGTCATTCTGCTGTTTGGTCGATTTGCATATTAGGGTTTTATTATACAGTGGGGCCTTGACTTACGAGTGTCCCGACTAACGAGTTTTTCAAGATATGAACCATCTCTCGGCCGATTTTTTGCTTTGAGTTGCGAGCTAAAATTCGGGTTACGAGCCAGCTTCAGATACCCCACCACTAGGTGGCGCAGCAAACGGCACAGTGAACGCCACAACATCAGCCCAGCGTCACGTGTCTCACTTGTTCACTTTTTGATTTGACATACAAGTAATTTGAGTTACGAGCTCTGTCAGGGAACAAATTAAACTCGTAAGTCAAGGCCCCACTGTATAGGATAAAATGGCCAGTAAATCTCTCTGCTTTATACTTATGAAAAAGCAGAGAATTAGAGAACAGGAAATTCTATATTTCTATATAAAGGCTTACTATTTCCAATCCTTTTTAGAGAAGTATTAATATTTTGTGAGGACTTTGTGCTTGGCACTGTATTTCACAAAGAACCCTAAAGTAGTGGGTAGCATTGCTATTCCTGTTTTTTTTATAGACAGGAATCAGAGGGTTAGCAGGAGTAAGTAACTTGCCTGAGGTCAATGCTCAGTAGGTGTCAATGAAAAGAAGGTAGGTGAGACTGAATCTCAGATCTACTTGAGTCCAGAGCTTTTGTAGCTGTTACATAACATAAAAGCAAAGATTTCAAGTCTATCTGTGTAGTCTGGTAAGTGAAATGAGGCGCCCACTCTGATACCTATCATAGTCATACATATCTGAACATATGCTCCTTTTAATTTCAGTCTGTGGCTGTGCCAACCAGTGTTGTCACAGTCACTCCTGTGAAGCCGTCGAATACTGTAACTACCCTGCAGCCTTCAAGTTTGGGAGCATCACACGCACCGTCTAGTGAGCCCGTCCTCAAAGCGGGGAACTCAGCAGCCGCTCAGACCAACCTCACTCCGGTACGCTCTCACTGCACCTTCCGTCAGTGCAGCTCTTCAGAAAAGTGTGAACTCTCTTATGAGTGCTTGTTTCTATTTCCATGTTTAGGCGATGCTAGAAAATGTGAAGAAATGTAAGAACTTTCTTGCGATGTTAATAAAACTAGCATGTAGTGGATCACAGTCCCCGGAGATGGGGCAGAATGTCAAGAAGCTGGTGGGACAACTTTTGGTAAGTCAGTGCGATGAAGCCTTGCAAGCTCTGTAAGATCTATAGAACGTCTTTTAAATGGGAAATAACTGTTTTTAAATGAAGTTTATTTTAAATGGGTTTTTACATAAACTTTGCTTTTGCTGCTTGAAAGCTTTGTGATGATTATAAGTCTCAGGCCAATCTATTGTAGTATACACTGCTTTCTCTGTGTCAGTCTTCTTCCCTTAGCCAAAAGGGGACTTGGAGAGAAGGTTGATTTTGTCAAATAAAAAGTTATGAGAATTGTAAATGCCAAAAGCCGGGCTATTAAAGAATAAAATTTACTTCTGTATGTCCAAACAACAAACTTTGGGACCTATGGAAATAAATTAACTTCCTTATGCCTCAGCTTCCTTCTCTATGAGATGAGCAGAGTAGATGTGATGATCTTTGAGGTTTATGTTAAGTGCCAAGATGCCGTGTCTTTTAGCCACCAAATTGTTTCTTCTATCCTCTTTCAGGTAAAATGCTCAGATATGTTACAAAGTGGATGAATGTGGAAATTAGCATATTAACTGTTTAAGAAATATGCGGAGAATATAACAATATAATTTTGAATTTTTATTTTTATAAGAGTTTATTTGAACCAAACTGCTGACATATATATACTGAGAAGCAAGATCCCAAATGCTCTGAGAATAACAGCTTTGCATCTTTGTGTGCATTTGGAATGAAGGAGGGAACATGGAGGATGACATGGAAGTGGGGAAAGCAAGGCAGGAGCTGGATTACAGGATAGTTAGCACGATTGTGTGCTCTATTGAGGGTTAATACCCCCTTTCCGGGTTTTCACCTCTGACATTTCAAAGGTTTGTTATATACATGCCCAAGAGCAATGGACAGAGCTGGCTTAAACTTTCCACTAAAGCTCAGGCCTGGGGCATGACTGCCCATGAGCTGCCCAGTTAGGCTTTTATGATCAGATCCCCCTGTGAGGTTACTTCCCATAGAACACCCCCTCTTTTTGTCCGTAGTTGCCATTTTTGATCATAAATCAATTGGAAGGATGCCTGGAAGACCAAAATTTTAGTCGTATAGTGTGGTCTCGCAGCTTTGGGAAGCCTCAGTCTCAGTGTTGCCTTGCTCACCATTGGGGTGGGGCAGTGCTGTAACCATAGGATCTGAGTTGAGGGGGTATTTTTCCCCAAAAGGGAAGAGCAGGTTAATGGAAGGTAGTCAGGTCTTATGACCTTAGTTGTGAGAAAATAGTCTTAGATCATTTTTATCCTATGAACTATCATGATTTGAGGTTTTACTTACCTTCTGTTTTATTTTTCTGTATATGGCTTCTAGTATAACATTTACATAAACCATGAGAAGAATATTAACCGTTATACATGTCCAATAGTCAGAAATAGCTGGACTATATAGAAAAACCCAAAGAACAACTATAACAATTATTATGACTCATATCATTAGTATTTTAGGTAAAAATAGTAAAACAAAATGGGTTCTGAGTTCAGTATCAATCCATAACGATAAAGCTTTGTCAGTGTCTTGGGATAGCTGTCTCTCTCTGGTGTCAGTGGCTTCTCACCCTCGAGGAGTCTTTGATGTCTGTAAACAGGAGTAGATGTCCCTCAGATAGGTACCTGGGGAGCTCCCTGTGATGTGGGAGAGGTCTTACCTGATGCTGGGTCACCAGCATCTCCATCACAGGCTGCTCTTCCTTGAGCATCTTGATTGGTCTGTAGCAGAAATGTTCTGTGTGGCTCACATTGCTTAACACACAATATTAAGAAGATGTCTACTGAAGGGTTGATATTTAGTCAAATGAATTTTTACTGCTTCATTGAGGACATTTAAAAAGGAAACTGGCTCTATTTTTTTTTTACCCCAAGTGCCTGGTGATAGAGAATATGATGACACCTCTTTTAATTTGTTGCCATTGTCTTTCTTGCCAGCAATTTTACCTACTGATGCTTCTATACCATCAGTGCAAATCTCAGCACAGTGAAACAGGCCAAAAAAAAAAACCTTTTTAGTATTAATATGAAAATAATTTAGACCTCATAGACCCCTGAAATGCTTAGAATGTAGGGCAGTATGGAAGGCTTCCTAAGTCCTTTGGAACAATTGTATCTGTTATTACAGCCCCCGCATTCTAAAAATAGTGTATCCTGATGAAGGTAATTTCAAAATTGAAAAACCAAAACAAAAAACATCCAGTCCCCCAAACCAAATAACTTCCTATTCTCTACCCTAAGAAATGCAGGACTCCTGTCCACTTCGTCAGGCTCTGAACAGCCTGCGGTGCAGTAGCTCCACTCAGACGGCCAGCTCTACTCTGGTTTTGCTTACGGGGATCATCCCTGCATGAGCAAACATGTCCATTGTTTACGATGACTCATTTCACTAGTGACATGAAGAAAATGCCTCCATTGAATGAGGGACTTACCACTGTTCAGAGCTTGTTATGTTTACCATCACGAATTATATGTTGTTCCTGCTTTAAAATATTTGTAGACCTCAACGTGTTTTTCTTTCCCTTGTCCTCAGGATGCAAAAATCGAAGCGGAGGAATTTACTAGACAACTGTATGTTGAGCTCAAGTCTTCACCCCAGCCTCACCTAGTCCCTTTTCTTAAGGTAGAGCTACCTATTTATTACTTTGAAAAAATCCTTGGTATTAGATTACTTTTAATGTAATTTAAAACCCAAATATTTCAGCATGCTATCAACTTAAGGCAAAGGTAACTAGCAATGTAGGACAGGCCTCTCAGTTTGTAACCTGTAACTCATGTTGCTAGTTCATATTCTTTGGTTTGGAACACAGTGGGAAAACCGAAGTACCATCTGAGTCATGAATATAACTTGATTATGTTATTTAATGCTTGTATGTGCAAAATTCTTGACATTTACAAAAGTAGGGCCTTCTGCTCTTTCCTAATGACTCACATTCTCTTAGAAATTAACAGCATAATGCCAAATTTAGGGGAAGGCTTTTTTTTTTTTTCAATTTCAGAGAGGAAGGGAGAGGGAGAGAGAGAGAAACATCAGTGATGAGAGAGAACCATTGATCGACTGCTTTTCGAGCCTGCAACCCAGGCATGTGGCCTGACCAGGAATTGAACCATGACCCTTGGGTCATAGGTCAGTGATCAACCACTGAACCATGCTGGCTGGGCTGGAAAGGCTATTTTAAAAAGTTAATTTATTTTGTTAGTAGCATATTCTTCTGTAAGATGTATTGCATTAAACAGAATTTTAATGGAGAACAGTAACTTTGACAATAAGAGCCTGGTTTGGCGGAATAAAAATTGATGTTCAGTATTCAAAAGTTTAAGACTGACATAATCATTTCATTTTGAAAAATAAAGCACTTTTCGTTTGAAATAAATTAAATGTTGGATATTGACAGACATAAATAAGTGATGTCAGATTCCCTCAACTGAAAAGTTGATGTACTTTTGGATTATTTTATGTTGTAAAGATATGAAGTACAAAGTGTTTTCATGTTACTAGTCACTGATCTCCTTAGTGGTTGGTGTTTTCCCCTTCCCTGCTTCTAGAAAAGTGTGAGTGCCTTGCGACAGCTCCTGCCCAGCTCTCAGAGCTTCATCCAGCAGTGTGTTCAGCAGACCTCCGGGGAGGCCATCGTTGCTACCTGCACCACTCCGGTGACCGCTGTGGCGACAGCAACCGACTCCTCAGTCCAGGCTGAACGGGCCCTTGTCTCTGGAGCAGCCACACCCAGAACGGTGTCCGCGCAAAGTGTGAATTCCTTTGTTGGCCCAGGGGGAGCAAACGCTGGAGTGGTGACACTTCATTCTGTGGGTCCAGCTGCTGTAGCAGGAGGAGCAACAGCCGGAACTGTCGTGCTTCAGACGCCAAAACCGCTTGTGACCTCTGTACAGAACACAGTGGCAGCAGTCTCGCTTCCACCTGAGAAGCCAGTGGTCTCGGGAGCAGGGGTGACGCTGGCCCTCCCATCAGTAACTTTGGGAGAAACTTCATCAGCTGTTTGTCTTCCGTCTGTGAAAACTGTCGTTACTTCTGCTGGGACCACCTCTGAGAAGCCTGTCATGGGCGCTCCGGTCCAGATCACACTCGCACAGCCGGGACCCGTCCTTTCCCCGTCGGCTGCTCTCCCACAGGCAGTGAAAGTCAAGCAGCTGGTGAGTACCATTTCCTTCCTTCCTCTCTTCCGTATTTTGTAAATTTCAACCATTCAGAAAATTGGCAAGACTAGTAAAGTGAGCCCCTGTGTACCCTGGGCCACGTTGGACCAGTTGTTAACGTTTTACCACATTTGCTTTGTTCTCCCTCACTCTGCTGGCAAACTAACTGCAAAACACACACACACACACACACACACGCACGTCATTTTTTTCTGAACCATTTGAGAGGTGGAAATCATGACATTGCACCTCTACACTGCGTATCCCTTAAGGAAAAGTCTCTTTGTTTTTTCTAATCCTCACCTGAGGATACTTTTTCCATTGATTTTTAGAGAGAGTGGGGGGAGAGAAAGAGAGAGGGAGACATCGATGTGAGAGAGGCACATTGATTGGTTGCCTCCTCTCTCTATATATATATAAATCTCTTACATATTTTCACTCATTATTTTCCTTTTTTTACAAATGTGCAGGAGAATGCTGCACATGCTGCCCCAAGTGTCATGATCGTTAAGATGAGCAATAATGGGGACCCAAGATTGTGTGTCCCAGCTCAAATTTGGTGATACATATAAATATCCCATATCATCATGTGTTCTGTGTGTGTGTGTGTGTGTGTGTGTGTGTGTATGTGCGCGCGCGCACACATGTATTTGAACTGACACCTTTGCCTCCTGTCACTGGCATGAACTTGACCCTGATTGGTCTGTAGGCCAGGCCACGCACAGCACCAGATGCAGGTTGCCACTGAGGCTCACCTTCCCAAGCTGGTTCTGTGCAAGGTATTACAACCAGCATCGGGTCCCCCGAGGGGTCCCAGACTGCGAGAGAGCACAGGCTGGGCTAAGGGACATAGAGTCTATTCTCAGAATGATGGAAGTTGAATTATTCCAATTTAGTATTTCTTCTCTAGGGGCATTAATTCCTATTTGGAGTTTCCTATGAGTCACTTTTATTTAGTGATTGATGCACACTAGATTTTATATTTTATTTACAATAAAAATTAAAATACAGAATAAATTGTACTCCCAAATTCTGTTCAGAAGTCTGTCTCCTGGCACATTTATATTAGCCAAAAATGAATTTAAGGACTTAAAATAGTTCATTGTCAGTAGCTGGCTCAAATACATGATGACTGTTTTTCTTCTTTGAGGTGGGGAAAAAAAAAAGGAACTTCTGCTATTGTACTTTTTTCCTTCTTTGAAGCTAAAAATAAGGCCCTGCTATTATTACCTTAACTTTGCTTCCTTTGTCCCCAACACTCACCCTTTGGATTTCTTGAACTGTTTATTTTGGAGGATGCCTTTAGCATTGTCATTTTCCAGATATTTTTTAAAAACGGCCCATTAAAAGTCTATCTTTTGGAGATGTATAGTATTTTGAAATACTTATCCTATATAATAAAAGCCTAACATGCTAAGTGTCTGGTCGACTGGTCGGCTGTTCAACCAATTAAAGCATCAAAGTGTAATATGCTAATGATATGCTAAGGCTGCTCAACCGCTTGCTATGATGTGCACTGACCACCAGGGGGCAGACACTCCGACTGGTAGGTTAGCTTGCTGCTGGGGTCCGGCCAATTGGGACTGAGCAAGATGGGCCAGACACGGTCTGGAACCCTCCCATGTTCCCTCCCCAGCTGGCCAGCCTCCCCTGCATCTCTCCCCTGCCCCGATCATGCACCGGTGGGGTCCCTCGGCCTAGCCTGTGCCCTCTCGCAATCCGGGACACCTCGGGGGATGTCGGAAAGCTGGTTTCAACCCGATCCTGCAGGCCAGGCTGAGGAACCCCCACTGGTGCACGAATTCATGCACTGGGCCTCTAGTAGATAGATAAAAAATTATATCTGGGGGTGCTTTAAAATAATTGGGGATGGTAGCGAAGTGGGTGGAGATATACAGGAAACAATGTTGGTAAAGAATTAATCATCGTTGAAGCTGGGTAATAATGGCATAGGTCAGTGGTCGGCAAACTCATTAGTCAACAGAGCCAAATATCAACAGTACTTCTTCAAAATAGACTCGCCCAGGCCGAAAACCAACTTCTGCTCATGGGCCACGAAGTTTCAATCTCACTGTGTTTGCGCCTGCACGTGGTATTTTGTGGAAGAGCCACACTCAAGGGGTCGAAGAGCTGCATGTGGCTTGTGAGCCGCAGTTTGCTGACCACGGGCATAGGTGGTTTCATCTTATTGTTTCTTCTGCCTTTGTGTATATTTGAAATTTTCCATGATAAAAGTTAAAAAATGAAAATATGGCACATATGGAGGTTTAAATTGGGCAATATGTAATGTAAATTTGAGCTCCACTCTAAGAAGTAATATAATGTGTGAGATCGTCATGTTTTTCAGTTTTGAACAAGATAATTTTGCCACGTACAGATTTAGATTTAAGTAGGCATTCTTGATATGCTACGATCAGGTATATTTACTGCTGGGTGAGCACAGTTGGCTGTTCTCTTGTTATAACTGAAGCAGGTTTGCTTGAATGACGATAACGACGGTTCTCATTGTTTCAGGTAGTCCAGCAGCCTTCAGGGTGCATTTCCAGACAAGTGGGCACACTCCCCGCTTCCTCAGCACTGACCCTTCAGAAGAAGATGCCTGTGAGCACTGCAGCAACTTCCGGTCAGCCACCTCCAGCCAGACTCTGACCTATCACACTGGGTTTGAAACGGCATGGGGTTTTGTACTCTCTTTTAATGTTCTATTTATTAAGAGACGAGAGATGTGGTCTTTTATGTGGGACCTGAGAGAGAAGACTGAAAGGTAACTGTGGTACATCTTTGTACCTACAGAGCCATTTTCTAAGGGGATATGTTGTTTTAGAGTAAAAGAAGCAACTATTCACAGTATTTGTAGTCAGATACATCAGTCCAGTAGTAAATAAGTACTTTTAAAAAATATATATTTTATTGATTTTTTACAGAGAGGAAGGGAGAGGGATAGAGAGTAGAAACATCGATGAGAGAGAAACATCGATCAGCTGCCTCTTGCACACCCCCTCTTGGGGATGTGCCCGCAACCAAGGTACATGCCCTTGACTGGAATCGAACCCAGGACCCTTCAGTCCGCAGGCCAATGCTCTATCCACTAAGCCAAACTGGTTAGGGCAGTACTTTTTTGACTTAGAAAATTTTCTGTAGCCTTTTCTTTTTAAAATGTGCTTCTTTCTTTCTTTGTCAATTAGTCTTGCGCATAAAATTTAGAGGTTTTATTGTTTTTTAAAATCTACCATAGAAATGATATATCATTAACATGTTTCTGTCACTTTTTCTGCATACTATTTTTATAGTGCTGGTAATTCCGTAGATAATTTGAAGGCTGGGGGTCTTGATTTTAGTGAATGGTTCCATGTGCAGGCAATAAATTCATTGCCATGTTTGAATTTAAACATAGTTTTAGGGCAGTTTGAGGTTTTCTTTGATTATTCTTTGTTATTAAAAGCTGTTCTGAATTTTTTATCATGTAGCGTGATTGTATATTTAAAAGCATACTTTTTTCTTTGTTTGTTTTTGTAGTTTCCATTCTAAAGCAAACTACCCTGCCAGGAAATAAAATTCTGCCTCTTCAAGTATCTTCTATTCGGAAAGATAAAATAAAGGAGAATGGAGCGACGTCCTTGAGGTAAAGAAAATAAATAGTTAAAACTTGATTTGGATTAAGGAAGTGACATTTCAAAAAAAGAAAAGAGATGACAGTACTTTTAATAATAAATATATTTATGCATTTAAAAAAACCGAACAGAACTTTGAGTATAATTTATAAACAAAACAGTGCTGACACCTTTTACTGACACCTTTTCGACAATGTCTGTGCACGTGACGCTGGCACAGACTTTAAGTGTACATCTTAATGAATTTTGACAAACATATATACTGGGGTGATCATAATCCAGATCAAGATGCAGAACATATCCATCGCTTTTATGCTCCTTTAAAATCAATATCCCAGTCCCTGCCTCCTACAGCCACTATTTTTATATCTATCACCAGGGGTCATTTTTGTCTATTCTTCACATAAATGAAAAATTACATTATCTGCTCTTTTTTTTGTTTTTTTAAATATATTTTATTGATTTTTTACAGAGAGGAAGGGAGAGGGATAGAGAGTTAGAAACATCGATGAGAGAGAAACATCGATCAGCTGCCTCCTGCACACTCCCTACTGGGGATGTGCCCCGCAACCAAGGTACATGCCCTTGACCGGAATCGAACCTGGACCCTTCAGTCGGCGACTGACGCTCTATCCACTGA